TTGTCCCTGTGCTAGTTTAAGTTTGTTGGCTAACTTCTCCAGCAGGGCAGTTTCCCGTACATTTTGGTACCACTGGTCCTGATAGGTTCTTCCAGTGTCCAGTTACCATACTTCTAGCTGGTGAGAGTAAGTGAGTTATGAGTTCCTTGTCATGTAATATTCTTATTCTTATTCTTAATATATTTTATTTATACCCCGCCCATCTGGCTGGTTTTCCCAAGCCACTCTGGGCGGCTCCCAACAGAACACGAAAAAAGAATAAAACTTCAAAATTAAGAACTTCCCTAAATAGTGCGTGCACATTGTTGTCCTGGAAGATATTTAATAGGGCTCTTCCCTATTTTCACTGGAGAAAGGTTGGAGTAGTGCTTGCCAAAGCCCAGACATGCACTGAGTATGTGTGCATGTGTGGGGGGGGGGAGCAGAGGAGCTGGCGTAGAGTCCATAAATATTATATTGTAACTTCTCTGCATTTTAAGAACTCGTCTCGGTTAATGGCCGGGTTAGACAAAGACTGCATTGAACTGTCAACTCGCGGCTAGACACCCCAGCTGTTGTGAATGGGCACGCGGACTGTGGGGCGGGGGGAGATGGGGCACGATAAAAAGGACCCCAGCGTTCAAGGTCAGAGGTAACTCCACCCTCCCCTCCCCTCGGCACTGCCAGGCATGAATTATTCAAACTGTCCTCTCCAGGGCTGTAAAACGAATAAAGTTAACTTAATAGTTGTGTGCGTGCTTTGGGGGGAAAGGGGTGCAAGCTGACCCGTATCGGAAAAAGAAAAAATGCTGGATTGCCATTAGCAGCAATATTCGTTTATTTTAGTGATGTAAACTGCCATTTCCAACCGGTGTGCAAGAAGAAGATGAGAGCATAAGGATCAGGCCTAGGACTCATCCTGTTCCCATAGTGGCTATGAAGCCAGGGCTCCAGATAGACTGCCTCTGGACCTGGGGGTTCCATAGGAACCTAAGAAGAGCCTTGTTACTGGATCAGGCCCAGGACCCGTCAAATCCAGCATCTTGGTCTCACAGCGGCCCACCAGATGCCCCAAAGGGAGACCCAACAGGATTCGAACACAAGAGCAGCCCTTTCCTCCTCCATGAATTTATCCAATCCTCTTTTAAAGCCATGCAAGTTAGTGCCATCCCTGCAGGGAGTTCCACAATTCAATAATGTGCTGCGTGATGTGATGTGTTGATTCTTCCAATGTACAACTTCAAATACAGCCGGCCCCCATGGTTCCCTGATTTTGGGGGGTCCCTGCCCCCTCAGTTCCATAAGCTCACCCCCAGTGCCCACTACCCTATAAAAAGCAAAATTCAGAACAGCTGCTTGCATGAACCACTAAGGAAGTTAATCACTCAATAAATTTTGAAGAGAACAATTCATTGCACATTTGCTCGGAATCCAGTTGAAACTGTTTTAATTGGCTGGCCAGCTAGTAGAGCATGACACTCTTGATCTCAGGGTTGTGGGTTCGAACTCCATGTTGGGCCAAAGATTCCTGCATTGCAGGGGGTTGGGCTAGATGACCCTTGGGGTCCCTCCAACTCTATGATTAATTCACCCAGACTTGATCCAGAGAGCCCAGCTTCTCAAAGTCTGAAAATCATTTGCACTTCTGGTGCCCCCATCCCATTGCCCCATTGCCTCTTCACGTCTCCCTTAGAGATCCAGAGACACTCGCCATCCCTCTCTGACACGCATCGCTTAGAAAAGCATAAACAAAACTCAGGAAACTGTCTTATAATTTCTTGGTGCAACTCAGGGATGTGGAGCCGTTCATTAAGGTACCCTTCCAATAATCCTGGTGAGTCTCTGAGTGAGTGTGCAGCAACTCCTGCAGGAAATCTAAAACCTGGAGCTGTTGCTCCACCCACTTTTGTCCTGGCCCCGCCCACCTGCAGCCCATGGAAGACAACCCAGAAGGAGAAGCAGTCTGGGGAAAGGGTTAGAATCATAGAATTGTAGAGTTGGGAAGAACCTGGGAGCCATCTAGGTGGAATGTACACATATCTTTAAAAAACACTGTGAAAATGCTTTTAAAGAAAATAGATATTGAAAAATATATTGAAATTGCCATAGCTCACTGTTGCCATCTAGTGTCACATTTGTATATTTCACTTAAAATTTATTTGCAACTGCATAGCTGAGTCCCTAGACAAGCCCCCTGCAATGCAGGAATGTCAGCTAACTGCTGACATTCTAACCTCTGCTTAGAAAACTTTCAAGGAAGCAGAGGCCACCACCTGTTCCACTGTCGAACAGCTCTTAATATCAGAAAGTTCTTCCTGGTGTTTAGTCGGAATCTCCTTTCTTTTAACTAGAAGCCATGGGTTCGAGTCCTACCCTCCAGAGCAGGAGAAAACAAGCCTCCTCCCTCTTCCATGGGACAGCCATCCCCCTGAATAAATACTTTTTACATACCCTCCATTCCAACATTTATCTGTTGAAAATAGGCCATAGGTTTGCCCTTCACCCAGAATTTCCTGGACATAGCCGGGATTCGGCCATCAGAAACAGTGTCCAGGCAGAAATTTCTGAAGTGTCCAGGAGAATCTGGATATATGTCAACCCGTGTCGGAAGTGTAGATTTTGGCAAATGTCCTTAAAAATAACTCTTTTTGAAAAATGGCAACCCTAAAATAGGGAGGTCCTTTTCCATAACAACAACAACGACAACATCAATGTTCTTATTTATACCCTCCCCATCTGACTGGGTTACCCCAGGCACTCTGTGTGGCTTCCAGCATATATAAAAACATAATAAAGCATTTTTTAAAACTTCCCTGTCCAGGGCTACCTTCAGATGTCTTCTAAAGGTTGTCTAGTTTCTTATCTCCTTGGCTCGGGGGTCGCATAACTCCGGACCCTCCAACATTTCTCTGACGAAAACAGGGACGTCCTAAGGAAAAGTGGGACATTCTGGGATCAAATCAGAAACTGGGATGGCTTCTGTAAATCCTGGACTGTCCCTGGAAAATGGGGGGACTTGGAGGGCCTGTTTTAACAGGGTAGGGGGCACAGGGAATGTGCTTATGGAGCCAAGGGGGCAGTGGGCCGAAAAAGTTTGGGAGCCTCTAATTGAGCGCCAGCCCTTGCTGTCTGTCTCCCGCAGGATATCCCCCCTTGGCTACGGTTATTGCGTCTGCCTGCCCCACTCCCCCAGGTGACGAAGAGCCCCTTGGGGGCAGCGGCCTGTCGAGACGGCAGACATCTCTCTTCCTCCTTGGCATAAATGGGCTGTGTGTCGGGGGAGATGCGCAGGGCCCACACGCCCCGAATCCTTGCCACCCGGGTCCTGTGTCCTTTGGATGCACGTCTGAGGGGGGGGGAGGCGGGAGAGAGCTAATTGACATCAGCGCCTGGGAGCAGATGGGGTGTCCACCTGCTGGAGAAATGCAAATGATGTCTGGAGCAAGGCGGCCGCCTTCGGGACGGGGTCAAGCGAGGGAGGGGAGGAGCGAGGAGGAAGATCCACTGGCAAACAGAAGGAAAGCCGGATCAGGCCATGTCTCAGGGAGAAGAGAGCCTGTGTCTGTGAGTCTGCCAGGAGCAGAGAGGAGGGAATTCTCTGCATATAGCTCTGTTTCTTTTGAAGCAGGGGGTTGGACTACATGACCGCCAGGGTCCCTTCCAACTCTGATTCACCTTGAATGTAGACAAGTAGTGATGCAACCTGTAATAGAAAGAAGACAGCTGCAAAAGTCGGGTGCTGCCACCTCTCTCTGCAAGACTCCAGGGGAGTCTGTGGTCCTTTGGGGAATTAAGACACGGCAGAGACCATCATAGCTTTAAAAAAGATGGTTTATTCCCCTAGTTACACCTTCAGTCTGCCAGGAGGGAGCCCCGATCTTACAGCATGGTCATTTCAAGAGGGGCTTGTGCAGCCCTGAACTCCAAGGCATCTCTCCCAGCCAGCCTTCAGCCAGCCTGCCCAAGATGGATCCCATCCTTCTCTCCCTTTCTTCTTCCCAGCACGCCTTGCTTAAAACCCCTCTCTTTTCCTGTCACTTCACACCCAGTTACCCTGCAGCCTTCCAGGCCCCCAGTCTCAGGGCAAGGAGGGAGGACAGTTATCCTCAATGGCCCTCTATTGTTCCTAAGTGGCCCCAGCTTGGCCCGGTCCTTTTGCGTAGGCTAGTCCAGGAATTCCTCTGCAGCTTGTATTTCTCCCTCCACATCCCAAATAATCAAGATCTGGACTCCCTCCATGTAGACTGAAGGTGCAAATAGGCAAATAAACCATATTTCGTAAAGCTACAACAGTCTCTGCCCTGTCTCCATTCTGCAGACCCTAGGTGAGTGTCTGGAAACCCCTGGGCTCTGCAGAGAAAGGGGCAGGCACCCAACTTTGTAGCAATATTCGGGTTACAATATTGTACACAGATAAATAATAAAACATGGCATGACTAACAGAAAATGGGTCACCAAGGGTGTAAAAGACTATGTTTTTATTATGTTTCTATATGTGCTTGAAGCCGCCCAGAGTGGTTGGGGAACAATATTATTAAGCATATTATTTTACAGTACATAATAATAAGGTAACAGTAAACCAGGAAAAGGAGTTCTTCAATAAATGGACGTATAAAACAGAGTAATCGGCTTGAGCTAATGAGCAGCATCTTCTTATCTATTGCGATATATGTTGCACGTATTGCTCATTCCTGTCTTGCTCCTTTTGCACATTTAATAAAACCACACCATGCAGTTCAAAAAGTGCCTTGCTGCTTCTCTCCCTTTGCCACCTCCAATTTTTGTGACAGCTTTTTCATTATGGCTGTTTGCCAGATGATATTATACCAGTGATCAATATTAATTAATTGCAAGGTTTTCTGAGTTCTGGCTACTACCGTTCTATCCGCTGTTAATAAACGTGTTGTTAATTTATTACTTCTTAACTGGTCCATGTCTGAAGTAAATAAATTAAGTAAATGCTGGGGTATAGATTCAATGTAGGGCATGTGGATAATGTCATTCTCTTGTTTTGTCACTAGGTGGTGCTGTTCTGAGTCGGTTGTTTCCTGCTGGTGCTTAAGAGAGAGAATAGTTCTCCTTCCTGGGTTGCTGCGTGTCCTCTGAGCCTTCCCTGCTAATAGGTGAGGGGGCTTGGAATCCACAATCGCAAGATGCATTTAGAGTGCAATGATACCACTGCGCCAGCATGGTGTAGTGGTTAAGAGCGGTAGTCTCGTAATCTGGTGAACCGGGTTCGCTTCCCTGCTCCTCCACCTGCAGCTGCTGGGTGACCTTGGGCCAGTCACACTTCTCTGAAGTCTCTCAGCCCCACTCACCTCACAGAGTGTTTCTTGTGGGGAGGAAGGGAAAGGAGATTGTTAGCTTCTTTGAGACTCCTTCGGGTAGTGATAAAGCGGGATATCAAATCCAAACTCCTCCTCCTCCTCCTCCTCTTCTTCTTCTTTGGACAGTCGTGTCTTCCCCACCCCCAAAAAAATATCGTGGGAGATGCAGACTCAAGGAATCATAGAGCTGTTGAGTTGGAAGGGATCCAAAAGGACATCTAGTCCAACCCCTTGGAGTTTGTTAAGGATGCTGAGTGTTGCTAAGGGACCCTTATGTTCCCAGAGCTGCAATTTCCAGAACAGTTTAGCAATCTCTGCCTTTTCATGGGACCTCCGGGAACTGTAGCTTATGGGGCGGGAAATACAGTAAGGGTTTCTTCTCAACCTTAACTACAGTTCCCAGAATTCTTCCTTGTTGCTCCAGACGACTAGAAGTGAGGGTTGGAGACCCGCGAGATTTTTCTGCCACTGGCACCCAAATGTCCCCGTCTCTCCCTCCGTCCTCTGCCTCCCCTCCCGCGCTCACCCCAACCCCTTGCGCAAGGCAAACCCCCCACCCACCCACCCAAATATTCTGCCAGCCAAGCAGTTTCTGCGCACTCAAGAAACGCTCCTTTTAGCCTTACTGACCTCCCGGGCACCTGCGACGGGCGAAAAGCACATTTCTTAAGTGACAATTTCCCATCACTAAATTAAGAGGGAGAGTCGTTTTCCGTCACCCGCCCAAAGGTTCTGAGCTAGGCATAAAATGTGTCATTAGCAAACGTGGGCGGGGGGGGCAACACTCTCAATTGGGGGTCGAGGTGGGGAGATGAAAACTGCGCTTTTGCACCTGGTACTGCAGGTCGATGCTATTTGCTCAGAAACTCTTGCACTGACGTGAGGTGGGGGGTGATATTTTAAAGCTGGCCTTCAAGTACTTCCTGACCCCCTCCCCGGAAAAAAACCCTAATCCCCCCCCGAATTAAAATTGAAGACATATCAGTGTCGCTGAATGTCTGTGATGATGCCAAGATATATTGTCAAAAGAACCGTCCTGATCTTGTCAGTTCGAGTAGTGATTGCAACTCGGCGGAAAACAGCCCCAAATCTTACATTGGTTGCTTGAGAATACCACTCACTCTGAAATAATGGCCTACCACCCCTTTTCAGGAAAAAAATACTCAGCTCCCCCCCCCCCCGGGAAATCTATCTTCTCCAAGCAAACAAACCGAAAGATGCAGGGACAAATTTGCATTCTTGTATGCATCTATATTTCTACAACACAGTAAAGAAAGATGTTGTAAACAAGACACCTTGAAGTCGTTGCTGCAGCATCATTAACAACAGGTGAAACATGTACGAATTTTTTGTTTTGTTTTTTAATCATTGTTATTAAAGATGTTCTTGGTTTACAAAAGCAAACGCCTTGTTTCTTTTTCCAGTTGAAAAATCTTTTCTACAGATCAGTTACACTTGTTATGAGACATTAGTGGAGAGTACAGTATAAGGCCGGGGAAGAAGAGGAGTGGTGGTGAAACTTACTGTAAATAATAATAAAAATATTAAAAATATTAAAACTGCCCCAGGGGGTGATCCTGTTCACTTTGGGACCCACCGGATGATCTCCCCAAGGTCTCCTCCAAGCCTTCACCAAGATTTAGAGGGGCCTGGGAAACAGCAGCCGCAGGAAGCCCCTTTAACAGGAAGATACAAAGCTGGGAATTGTCTCATTCTTCCTTCGGGGTGTGGGGATGGGGTGTCCCGTGGAAAACTCAGGACAGCGGCATGCTATGGAAGGGGAGCCTTGCCAATCTGAGGCTAGCAAAGGTCTACCACTCTGTCACTAACCCCTCTCTCTTCCTCAAGCGCAGGTGGCGAGAGCAAAATAGCCAGCGACTCTCGACTGCAAAGCTCTCTCCAAGATTTGGCTGGACGGCGTGTCCTTTCCAGACTTGTGTTTCTCACGGGAATTGGTTCTCGAGTTTTAGCTGGAGATGGGAGTAAGGAATCGAAGAGGTCTTCGCCATCGCCGTCCCCATCGGAAGCAGACATCCCAGCTTGCATTGCGGCAGGCGTGGGGTGACTTTTCCTGCCCAAGGGAAGCATCCCCTTGGAGGGATTTTTTGGGGGACCACATGTTAGCGATTGGCAGGACCAGGGCCAAGATTGGGCGAAGCAATGGGTGCGGATCTCACCTGAGGTCCGGCTGAAAAAATGCCCTGCAAAACACATAATAAAAATAATCATAGAGAGTTGGAAGGGATCCTGATGGTTCTAGTCCAACCCTCTGCAAGGCAAGAATATGCAACCTGCAAGCTGCGTAATATTCACACAATGCATTAGCCAGCTGAGCTATCCTGAATCAAAACATAGTACAAATAAAAATAAAACATAATAGAAACAATTAACAATACATACTAATAAACGATAGAATCTTCAACAAAAGCTCCAAAAGTCCAAACTGGCATATAACATTTAACAACAACCTGCTGGTTGGGTTGGACAAGAGAAAGGCCTGCTATTTCCCCAACCTTTCCTGGAACATCGTCTCCCAGAACCAGGCGGGGACTGAAAAGGGAAGAACAGAAACAGCTTCCACGCAGGCGCAGTCTCCAGCTGCCGGAGGAAGGTACATAAACTGGCGGAGGGGGGTGGTCCCCAGTTGCTGCAACTGCTCCACAGAGTGTGGACCTGGCTGCTGAGATTGGTGTGCAAAGGGATCTGGAGTTGTGGAAGAGACTGCCTTATCTTTGGCAATAAAGAGCAAACTCTTTGCCGTGCGCATTCCTTTGCCTTGACGGGCCTTGGCCTCGTTTCAACCCTCTTGCATTCGGAATGCACATTAAATAGCACACGCCATCGTCCTTTGCATTCCAGACCAAATTCAAGGACATTTCGATAGCAGCAGAGAACATTGGAAATTTGGAGGGGAGCGGTCTGGAAACTGAGCCTGGAAAAGAGGAGACTGAGAGGAAATAGGAGAGCCTTCTTCAAATATCTAAGGGGCTGTCCCATGGAAGAGAGAACAAGTTTTCTCCTGCTCTGGAGGGCAGGACTCGAACCCATGACTTCAAGTTTCCGACTAAACATCAGGAAGAACTTTCTGACAAGAAGAGCTGTTTGAAAGTGGGATGGGCTCCCTTGGGAGGTGGTGGACTCTCCTTCTTTGGAGGTTTTCAAGCAGAGATGGGATGGCTGTGTGTCCTGGATGCTTTAGCTGAGATTCCTGCATTGCAGGGGGTTGGACTAGTTGACCCTCGGGGTCCCTGTCAACTCTACAATTCTATGGTGGTTGGTGGCTTCCCAACTGCTAGCCAATAGCTGCTTGTGCGCGATTTGCAGACATCCTGAACCTTATCTCACAAAAGATGCACTAGCATTTGGGAAACAATTGACAAAGACAGAGATTGACTCTAGCCAATCAGTGCCTTAGGACAGTTTGGATGACTTGTGCCTTAGTTGGTTCACTTGAACAGTTGGTCTTTGTCCACCTTAAATCTCCCAACTATTCAATTCAATCTTCTGAAATATTCAGCTTTCTGGAAACTGAAACCCAAGAATTGGAGGGGGGGCTTTGCATTGACGTCTTCACAGATACTCTCAACAGGAGCCTGCCAAACCTAGTGTTTTGTTGTTCAAGCCAAACCATTCTTTGTGGTGCCGTCAGGACTGGACTTTGGGCAGGCGCTGAGCAAGCGCACCATGCCTGACTTGCCACACAGGGATGGAATTGCCTTAATAAATATGGCTTTTTCCTCCTCCCTCCTCTGCCTTCTTTCCTCACGTGCCATGAGCCTGGCTTTTGTAACAGGAATTAGAATCAGCACAGGCGAAAGGAAGGAATTCTTTGTGCAGCTCAGCGTGCGCATGTGTGTGCGTGTCTATTTCTTTGTTGAAAAATAAAAAGTACAAAAGTACAAGTGCGCAGACACGAGAAAGAAGACACAAAAACGACATAAAAAATGAAACAAGAAATAGTATCCATGTACAATACATAACAATAACAAAACTGTGTACATTACAAAAGGGGGAGGGGCTTGCTATTGTAATTAACCAGACCTTAACGTAATACAGTGTTTATAAAAATTAATTCCAAATATCGCTAAATTTAACCATGGCAAGTCTACATTTCTACACAACATGTTCATGTGTAGCGAGTTTGTACAAATCATCAATCTAACCATTGAAGGGAGGTGCATTTTAATTTTTCCAGTTCATCAATATCAGCCTTTTTGCTGTCGAAAGGGCATGGAGAGTCCATTAATACTGTCCCTTTGTTAGATTCCATGTCTTGGGTATATAATTCCAAAGGATATTTTCCTCTGCAAATTTAAGATTGTTCCGTACAGTCCTCTTGATTGCCTCTATTACCTTCTGCCAGAAACTTTTCAGTGTAGGACATGGTACAAACATATGTGCAGAGTTAGAACGGCGGAACTCCCTGCCACAAGAGGTAGCGATGGCTACAAACTTGGGTGGCTTTAAAATGAGTTTAGACAAATTTGAGGGCGAGGGAGCAGGATACGGCTATCAAAGGCTACTCAGCCATGCTCTACCTCTGAATACCAGGCGCTGGCAATTTCAAGCAGGGAGAAATGATTCTGGACTCAGGTTCTGCTTGCAAACTTCCCACTGCGGTGCACGCTGAGAGAAGAGGTTGCTGGACTCGATGGGCCATGAGTTGTTTGACAGTGGGACAGTCCCTCGCGAGGTGGGGTACTCTCCTTCCCTGGAGGTTTTTAAGGAGAGGTTGGGTGTCCATCTGTGCTGGATGCTTGAGCTGAGATCCCTGCATTGCAGGGGGTTGGGCTGGATGACCCTCAGGGTCCCTTCCAACTCTACGATGCTGTGGTCCAGCAGGTTTTTCTTGCGCTCAGGTGGCAAAACCCGGAGGAGAGCAGCGGCTCCTGCCACGTCTCCTCCGGCAAGCTGGAAAGAAGAGCTAATCTCCGGCCTGACAGCTCCGGCGAGGGCGGGCAGATCTGGGGCGAAGTCCGGCTAAATCCTTAAGTCGCTTGTAAGTTCCCCACCGGAGAGATCTCCTATGGCTGGCTGCTGGGTGGTCTGTGGACAGAGTTAACGGCGGATTAAGCCCAGGGATGGGGCCCTTTTGTGTCTGCCCAGCCAGGCAAAAGAGAAAAAGTTGTAACCTCTCCCCAACGCCGTCCTCCCAGAGTTGCGAGGGACCCCCAAGGCGCATCTAGTCCAACTAGAGCATCCCTGGCAGGTGGCCACCCAACCTCCGAGGAAGGAGAGTCCATCACCTCCCAGGGGAATCCGTGCCATGACCAACAACGCCAAACTCTTCCTAAAGTTTAGGAGGGGCGCTCCTGTCTTGTGCCTTGACTCCATTGGTTCAGGTCCTGCCTCTGGGAAGTCCTCAAGGAAACAGCCCTCGTTTCTTATTTCTTCCCCCAGCAGCCGGGATACAATGCGGTAGACTGTCTTGGGCTAGGGAGGCTCCATCTAGGTCGAATGGCAAAGAGCTGCTGACAGACCTTTCCAAACGTGTAAGGCCTTGCCGGGGGAGGGGGGCGAATTGACATTGTGGGGTGGGGAAGGGGGATGGCAATGGGAGTGCACGAAAAGGGAAAGGGAGGAAAGGAAGAAAGGAGATTCCAAAAGGAAATTGAGGCAGACGGCAGGAGGAAGCCCAGAGGAAGGAAGGGAAGGAACGAGGGAGGGAGGGAGGGAGGGAGGGAGGAAAGGAAGGAAGGAAGGAAGGAAGGAAGGAAGGAAGGAAGGAAGGAAGGAACACCCTCCAACATTTCTCCATTGAAAATTGGGACATCCCATTCTATAATAATAATAATAATAATAATAATAATAATAATAATAATAATAATTTTATTATTCTTTATACCCCACTCCTCTGACTGGGTTGCCCCAGCCTCTCTGGGCGGCTTCCAACATATATAAAAACATAATGGAACATTATACATTAAAAAAAACTTCCCTATGCAGGGCTGCCTTCAGGTGTCTTCTAACAGTTGTAACTTCTTCCTGGTCTCCTTGGCTCTGGGGTCACATAACTAATGATACCCTCCAACATTTCTCCGATGAAAATAGGGACATCCCAAGGAAAAGTGGAACATTCCAGGATCAAATCAGAAACCAGGACGGCTTCTGTAAATCTGGGATGTCCCTGGAAAATAGGGACACCGGGAGGGTCTGGGAAGGAAGGGCAGAAACCAAGAGGGAAACTGAGGCAGAGAAAAGAAAAGGCAGGAACCATGAGAGGAAAAGAATTAAAAGGCTTCTGGTTATGTTTTCTAATTTGCCATTCTTTCAGTAAAGTTTTTTTCTAAACAGTCCTCTTGAACTCTTTCCTATTTCTCTCTCTCTTTCTATTGCTTTGGAAGCTTTCCAAATACCAGCTAGATGGCATCTAATCTGGATATGAAAGAGAGATGGAAAATGCCCACTCCCCCAATAAATGAAACCCCGTGCCCATATTGCGCCCTGTCCCAGATTCCTGTACGAAGAAGGGACCCTCTTCTCGGGGAAAGGCCAAGGGTGGGTTGTGTTTGTGTGAGGGGGCCGACAAGGACATGTGCCGGTTTGTTATGCTAAACCCCCAAGGCCCCCATTCATCAGGGCTCTCGGGCGGAGAGGTCTGGAGTGCAAGGAGTTCACAGGCCCTCTGGCATTGTGATGCTAAGTACCTCCTGCCCGCAGACGTGCGCAGGGCCGCACTATGCTCTGCGCCACCACTCTGGGTGGGGAGGGATTCGTGGCCAGCTGCTCCTCAGACCGCGAAACCCTCGCCGGAGATCCAGGACAGGCTGGTCTCCTTGCTGTCGCCACACACAACACAACACACACACCCCTCCGAGTCCCCGACTGGAGGAATGTCTGAGAGACCCCGGACAAAGGCGCTAGACCTCCTTTGGGACGCCAGAGCGAAGGCCTAACCCAGACCCACAGTGGAGAAGGGGATCCCCCTTCAGCTAGCAGCTGCAGAGGGGAAAATGCAGCTACAAGTCACCCCAACCTGCAAACAGCAAGAAGCTCCGGAGGGGGCCAGGTGCTTACCCAGAGTTCAAATATAGGTCAGCAGAGACACAGTGGCTTTAGGGTTTATTTACACATCTGTGCAACCTGAGGATAGGGTGGAAGGGCCCCACTTCCTACCCCAGGAAACACAATCCCACTTCTGACACCAGTGTTGCACATGCCCCGATCTCTGAATGGTGAGAGATTCCAGGGGGTCCCAGTGCTTACTCAGAGTTTGGTTTCCTTGCAGTTAGGATAGATGGTCTTATTTGAGTAGATACACAACATAAGCCTAAGAGGGAGGGGCTCACAATGGCCTCCCCTCCCAGTTTGGTGTCATCTGCAAATTTGATGCAAACCTCCTCAATTCCCTGGTCCAAGTAGCTTATAAAGACGTTGCACGCCAATGGGCCCAAGGCAAAATGTTTAACACGATAACGTTAACAGAGCCTGAAAGAGAAGAAGATGCCCCAGTGAGAAGCCAGCTAGGAGGACCTGAGCAGAGCTGCAGAATACAAAAAGTGATAGGCTTCGGTGAATAAATGATATATGAATGTTGTTAAATAAATAAAGTGAAAATGAAAAAAGAAGAAGGTGGATGTTGAGCTGTTTTGCTTCGAGTCTTTCCTTCTGTGGAGGTTTTTAAGCAGAGGCTGGGTGGCCAACTGCCCTGTATGCTTTAGCTGAGATTCCTGCATTTCAGGGGGTTGGACTAGATGACCCTTGGGGGTCCCTTCCAACTCTACCTCCATTACATTGGTCACAGGAATAAAGACATAGGGATTGTCCTTTCATACCTTCCTCACCCCACACGGAATCGAAACCTGCATTTCTTGGGGGGATTTGGGGGGGGGTTGGTGAGGGGACACAGGGTAAACCCGTTTCGACAAACTGTTATCCGTCCCTGTGATGTTAAGTGGACAACAACACATATAGAGCATCACTTTGAATCCATCAGACTTTTGCATAGCGGTGATTTTGTGTGACAGTGAGTCACCAGCAAAGTACTTGTTTAAGAAAGGGGAGGAAAGCTGTTTTCCTGGGAACACAGGAAACTCAGGTCATTGCTTAGCCCTTCTGTGTGCAAAGTAAACTTCACACCAAAAGAAATTCTGAAGCACCACCCAGTGGACAAGGACCAGAAGGACCTCTCATCGCCCAGAGGCGTATCCATGGCAACCTTGCATCTCTGCCAGCCAATCAGAACCCCAGCACCAAAGCCCTCTCCCCTCCTGTGGTTTCCAGCACCCGCGATTCAGAAGCATTGCTAGCCTCTGGTGGTCTGGCGGTTAGGATTCAGTTCTCTCACCCCCAAGTTCAGGGAGGTTGCTTTGGGGAACATGTCCTGCTCCTTCTGGGGTCCTTTGTCCACCTTTGCTCCCCACCTCCGCCCAGCTCTCACCTGTGGCTCCTCGAAGCTGCCAGCAGGTGACAGCGGCCCCAGTCTTGGGAATGGCTTTGACTGGCCGGCTGAACCAGGTGAGGGGAGCCGGTGTGCCTTGAACGCTTGGTGAGTTAGGGACTCCCCTGTGTGCAAAGACAGGCTCCGGTGGATTGAAGGGATGACTTTTAGAAGAAATCTGAAGGCAGTCCTGTTTAGGGAAGCTTTTAATGTTTAATACATTATTGTATTTTAATATTCTGTTGGAAGCCGCCCAGAGTGGCTGGGGAAACCCAGCCAGATGGGCGGGGTATAAATAAATTATTATTATTATTATTATTATTATTATTATTATTATTATTATTATTATTATAGAAATAGCCCAACAGTGATCAAGGCGGCAGTTTCTGTAGAGGAAAGTGAGGGGCAAATGGGGCTCATCATCAACCTGGGAAGGGGACCTGCCTAGGAGAAGCCCAGGACCCCCAGACACAGTGCCCAGGCTTGCTCCCCCGGGGAGGTCACTTGGGTGCTGCTGACGCAGCAAGAACAACGCCGGAGGCAGCAGTTACAAGTTCACAGAATCATAGCATTGTGGAGTCGGAAGGGACCCCAAGTGTCATCTAGTCTGACCCCGCGCAATGCAGAGGTTACGGGTCGGTGCGCGATTTGACTTCCCCTCCGGAGGTGACAGACGAATGCCAAGAACCGGGGGAAGGAGAACACAGCCCTCCTGCCTAGCAGCCCCTGAATTTGTGAAAAACCCCACGCATTTGTGCAATCCTCTTTTAAGGACATCCACACTGGCTGCAAAAGGGCGCGTGTGATTTACAGGGAAGGGAGAACCTTGTGAATTTTTGCAGAGGAAAACGTGCAAAAAAAATTCTCTCTCCGTTCCATCTTAAAGCACCTCGCCTGGGAAATGAAACTACAAGCCCCGAAATGCAACGCGCTTGGCAGGCGCCTGAAAACCGGAAACAGGTGGGGGGTGGCAAAAATCCCCGCCTCCCTTCAAACCTTTTTTTATTTTTATTTTGCTTTGTCATTGGCTGGCTGGCTGGCAATCAGCTGGAAGTGCCGCTTGTGATTGGCTGGGGGGTCTCACTCCTTCTTTGGTCTGCAAGATCAGAAGTGCAGGGAAACTTACCTGCCTTGCTTGTCTCTTGATTTGGGGGTGTTTTTTGCTCGGGACCCTAAAAAAAAATGGTAAGTTTTAATATTTTTTTTGCAAGAATGCATTGTTGGGTGTTTATGGACTTAGGGGGCTGGAGCTGGGCTGCGGGGCAGGTGGGTTTGCTTTCTGCATGAGAGAGAAGGTTTGCATGCTTGCCAAGGTCCTAGGACCACAGAACCGTAGAGTTGGAAGGGGACCCCCAAAGGACATCTAGCCCAACCCCGCGCAAGGCACGAAGCGCAGCTGCAGAACCCCTGGCAGGTGGTCATCCGACCGCCCTTTAAGAGCCTCCAAGGAAGGAGAAATGAGATCATCACCTTCTGAGGTCATAGAGCTGTAGAGCTGGAAGGGACCCCCAAAGGTCATCCATTCCAACCCCCCGCAATGCAGGAATCTCAGCTCAAGCAGCCAGGACGGAGGGCTTACAAACTCCCAAGGAAGGAGAGCCCTCCAACTCCCCAGGAAGACCGTTCCACTGTCAGGAAGTTTCCCCCAGAGTTAAGTGGGAATCTCCTTCCTTGAAATTTGAATCCCGTGTCCAGGCCACACAGCCGGCCGCCAGCTCCACTTCCTGCCCTTAAAATAGAAAGGGAGCCAATATCTCTGCACTAACCTTACACGGGGTCTACGTTTTTGGTACAGCTGCAGAGAGGTGCGAAGTGTAGGATTTGGGGTGGGGGCCGAACGTCGAGGTGGATCCGAAAAGTGGGATGAGAAATCCACTACCTGCTTCTAAAACTGGACGCAGGATCCCTGCTGGATCAGCCCCCTGAGGGTCATCCAGTCCAACCCAGGAATCTTCCTGCCCAGGACAGGGCTTGAACCCACGACCCTGAGATTAAGAGCCTCATGCTCTGCCAACTGAGCTATCCTTCACACAAAGGGATGGACTAGAATCGTAAGAGTTGGAAAGGGACCCTCAGGGTCATCCAGTCCAACCCCCAGCAGAGCAAGAATAGGCAGCTGTCCCTTGTGGGGAGCGAAGCTGCAACCTTGGTGTGCCCCTATTTTCCAGGGACACTCTCGAATTTGCAGGAGCCGTCCCGGTTTCTGATTTGATCCTGGGATGTCCCACTTTTCCTCAGGATGTTGCTCTTTTTGTTGGAGAAATGTTGAAGTGAATGATAATAGTAGTAGTAATAATAATAATAATAATAATAATAATAATAATAATAATGTTATTATTTATACTTCCCCCCATCTGGCTGGGTTTCCACAGCCTCTCTGGGTGGCTTCAGTGCCATGCTCTAACCAACTAAGCTATCCGACTTACCATCTTCTTCTTCTTCTTTTTTTAATAATAATTTTTATTGAGTTTTCCATATTTATCATAATCACATTTGGTTACATAAATCTATAGCCTAAAACATTGCTCAAGCAGAGCATCGACCTCCTTCTCTCCCTCTTTCTGACTTGCGAACATTTTTACTAAATTCTTAGCATTTCTATAACCTCTTTTTTACCTTCTATCTTCTTTTTACATTTCACCTCATTATATGTAAATCAGTTCCTTATATTCACATTACAAAACTAAGCTATCCGACTTATCATCATCATCATCTTCATCATTGAATGGGACGTCCCTATTTTCATTGGAGAAACGTTGGAGGGGATGATGATGATAATAAATGGGACTTTGGTGAGAATAAAACCTTGGACTTGACCCAAGGCCTCTTTCTCTGCTTCTGCCCCACAGGCAGTGATGGGGGTGCAGCTCGTGGTCTCCTTGCTGGTGGCCAGCATCATGCAGAAGATGGCCCCTCACTGGTCCTTCGCCCGGTGGATCCTCTGCAACGGAAGGTACCAAAAATCCCCTTTTTTGCAGGGCTGGGGATGGCAAGAAGGTTCCTCAGAAGTGTAGCAAGAGGTCAAAATCTGCTTATTATTTTTTGACCGTGGATGGAAGCAAAAGGGACTTGGGGGCTCCCACATTTGGCCTCGGGACACACACACACACCCCCCGCAATTTATCCGTCTGTCCACAATTCCACCTGCAGAAAAACGCCATTGAATTTATTCCCTGTTTATTTGGCGTTCATACCAGATTTGCTGGCTTGGTTAGGCTGTGGCTGCGTTCGTGCAAAACCTTTAAAAAGCTCTGGTCCCACTTTAAAACCGCCAGAGCTTCCAAATAATTCTGGGAGCTGTAGTTTGTTAGGGTGCTATTCCCCATGTGAAGCTACAGTTCCCAACATCGTTTAGCGATCCATCCTTCTTCCCAGGGAACTCTGGGAATTGTAGGCTCACATCCGCACCCTGCCTTTAAAAAGCGCCATGATATCACTTTGGTGACAGCAGCCCCCCTGCAATGAATCCTGGGAGCTGTAGTTTCAACTGATCGATCAATTGATCGATCAACCTTTATTGGCATACAGAGAGGACAGGTTGGGAGCTGTAGTTTGTGAAGGGTGCTGAGAGTTGTTGGGGAACCCCACTTTCCTCTCCAGTTTTAACTATCAATCCCTTTTCCCAGGGAACTCTGGGAACTGTAGTTCTGCAAAGGAGAATAGGAGGCCTCTTCACAGTGCCCAGCACCCCTAACAAACCACAGCTCCCTGGAGTCTTTCCCCTCTCAGCACTAGCATTCCCAGAGCTCCCTGGGAAGGGAGATGAGCTGCTAAACTGGTCCGGGAATTGTAGTTCTCAGAGGGGAAAAGTGCGGACCTCCTCACAACACCCAGTGCCTTTGAACTACAGTTCCCCAGGAAGCCATAGCTATTTAAAGTGGCATCAAAAGCAATTTAAGTTTTTATTATAAATAAAATTATTATAAATAATACAATTATTATTATTATTATTATTAACCCTGTATTGGGAAGTTTTTAACATTTGACATATTATTTTTTATATTTTGTTGGAAGCCGCCCAGAGTGGCTGGGGAAACCTAGCCAGATGGGTGGGGTATAAATATGATGATGGCGGTGGTGGTGATGATGATGATGATTAACGCAGGGCGCAAATGTGGCCTATGTTTTCCTCAGGAGCAGAACCAATGAAATTAATAGAGCCATGCCAATTTTTCTGATAACAATTTTCATGTGCTTACATATCAAATCCAAATTTGCATTGATTGACTCCCCCCCCCACCCCTGTTTTCCATTTTTCCTCCTTTTATTTTCCTTGCTTATAATTCTTATAATTATTTTTCACATCATAATTCTACCTTCAGTTCACAAATGCTACAACACTCCTGCTAGTGTTTCCACATTTTTACAGTGCTCTTTAAAGTAATCTACAAAAAAATTCCCATTCATGATTAAATTCTTCTTCACCTTGGTGCCTGATCTTCACGGTGAGTTTTGCCATGTTGGCATAGTCTATCCCCTTCGTCCTCCATTCTTCTTTCATTGGTACGTTCTCTTCTTTCCACTTCTGGGCAAGTCACATTCTGGCAGCTGTGGTCGCATATATAAATTGTCTCTTTTGTTTCTTTGACACTTCATCTCCTAATATTCCTAGTAAAAAAAGCCTTTTTTTTTAAAACAAATGTGGTTTTGAACATTTTTTCATTTCATTATATATCATTTCCCACCCATCCCAATGGGACTCCGTTGCGTTTGGCCCAATGTCTGTTTGGTGAGCCCTTTCCCCCTCTTCTTCCGCCAGCCTGCGCCGGTTCAAACACCCCTCGGAAGAGGAGCTGCTCGCCCTGGCGGGGAAGCCCAGGCCAAAGGGGAAGAGGGAGCGGTGAGTAGAGTTGACGTGAGGGCGGCCATCTTGTCCGTCCGGGGGGCTGAGGGAGCTGGTGGCCGGCGGTGGGGAAGGAACTACAAATCTCCACCCGCAGCATGGAGACACCCAGGAAAGGCGTGGGGGCAACTTAGATCCATCTTCGCCCCCCTGGCGCCATCTTTGGACCACACAGCTCCCTCTGGCGCCAACCGACTGACGTTTGTCTGTCTATCTGACAGGAAGATCAATGGCGTCACCGAGGAAAAGCCTTCCTCCGTCCCCCGGGATATTGACCTTCGCTTGGACAGCAGCCCCATCACCGCCGTGGACGCTCTGGGTAAATGCACCAAGGCTGGATCCCCTAAGCTCCCTCCCTTTGGCAGAAATGGGGGGCTGCCTATCCTCCCCTCCCCAAATAGCTTTTGGGGGTCAGGGAGGACTGAGGTGGTCTAGTCCCCTCAGGGACACCCCAAGCCTTTCTTCCTGAGATGGTTTTAGCTTTTGTCACAGCCAAGTTTTTAGTCCCTTTGGCTGGCGGAGAGCGTTGTGCCCCAATCCTGGCCCTGAAGCAAGCAAGTTTCCTGCCGCTTGCCATAGGCTGCCCAGTGAGTCACGGGGATCGTAGATGGCATTTGTGTATTATTAGTATTAGGTATTGTTTATATATCACTTACATGCCAAAGGAGTTTCTAAGCAGTTTAATGATGATGATGATATTTATATGCCACCTATCTGACTGCAGACCAGGGTTCAAATTCCCCCCTTCGCCAGGAAGCTTACAGGTTTATAATAAAAATAATAATTCATACCCCAGCCATCTGACTGGGTTGCCCTAACCTTAACCCACTCTGGGCGGCTCCCCAAAAAATATTGTGTAAATGCCCTCCCATCAGATGTCAAGGAAATAAACAACTATCTGACTTTAGAAGACAGCCCTATACAGTCGGGTTGAAGTTGCTTCAGATTGAGCGCTTTCAGGTTGTGCTCCGCGTCAACCTGGAAGTAACAGAATGCGTCACTTCTGAGTTTTGCCACTCGCACATGCGCAGATGGTCAAAATGGCGCCATGGGCATGCGCGGAAGCGGCGAATCGTGGCCCGCGCAGACGCGGGTTGCGTTCACTTCTGGATGCAAACGGGGCTCCGGAACGGATCCCGTTCATATCCAGAGGTACCACTGTATAGGGAGGTTTTTGATGTTTGATGTCTTAATTGTGTTTTAATTTGTTGGAAGCCACCCAGAGTGGGCGGGGTATTCTTATTATTATACACTGAAAATCTTCAGTGGTGCAGAATTTGGCAGCCAGGTTGCACGCCGGGGTTAAGGCAATTTGAGCATATTGCTCCAATCCTGGCCTGACTGCACTGACTGCCAATTAGTTTCCGGGTCCAATTCAGCACTAAGCTGGATGGCTCTAGATAAGGCAGGCTCCACAGTTCCTTGTCAAATCAACCATTTATTTGGAATATAGCTCAGTCGGCAAACCGTGAGACTCTGAATCTCAGAGTGGTGTGTTTGAGCCCCACGTTGTGCAAAAAGATTCCTGCATTGCAGGGGGTTGGGCTAGATGACTCTGAGGGTCCCTTCCTACCCATTCTAGACCATTCCCCCAGGCCTGGAAATTTGCTTCTTCTTTTTGGAAGAGGCTTTTGGGTGCAGCTGGTCAGGCTCAGGAGGCAATAAGAGCATCTTCCTGTCTCTCTCTTCTCTCCGCTTAGTGCTGTGCTATTTCCTGGAATATCAGTGGTACGTGGACTTTGCAGCGTACGCCACCGGAATCTATGTCTTCACCGAAGGCTACTACTGCCTGGTTGACCCCCGGAAGGAAGCCAACATTGGGATCCTCTGGTGCTTGCTGGCCGTCATCTTCTCCGTGTATCCTTTGGCCCCGGGGACGCCGTTTGCGGACACCAACCTAGGATGGCTTTAAAAGAGGATTGGGCCAATTGAGGAACTCCTTGAGATTCCTGCATTACAAGGGGGTTGGACTAGATGACCGCTGGGTCCCTTCCAGCTCTAAACTAGAAGAGAGCTCTCAAAGGCAGATGGGGCCCAGAGTGGCTGGGGAAGCCTAGTCAGATGGGCAGGGCATAATCATCAGAGGAGGAGGAGGAGGAAGAGGAGAGTTGCTCTTGCGCTTGGATCCCGCTTGTGGACTTCCCCTTTGGGCATCTCCCTGGCCCCTGTGAGAGCAGGATGCTGGACCCCCGGCCTGATCCAGAAGGCTCCTCTTAGGTTCTCATGACCGCTTCCCATTTCACATGCTTTCATCAAAAAAACAAGTGTCTGCATCATGATTTGTAAGTCTGAGAAATTGAGCGTCCGTTTAAGAAATGTGCCAGGTTTCCTGGGCAGAGGCCTGGAGTCCTGTGTCCAGTTCTGGGCACTACAATTTAAGAAGGATGTTGGGAAGGTGTGCAGAGGAGGGTGAATGAGATGATCAAAGGTCTGGAAACCAAGCCTGATGAGGAACGGTTGAAGGAGCAGGGGATGTTTAGCCTGGAAAGAGGAGATAGGAGAGCCATCTTCAAAGATCTCAAGGGCTGTCCCATGGAAAATGGAGCCAGCTTGTTTTCTCCTGCTCTGGAGGGCAGGACTCGAACCCATGGCTTCAAGTTACAAGAAGGGAGATTCCGACTAAACATCAGGAAGAACTTTCTGACAGTTAAGAGCAGTTCAACTGAGGGATGGAAGGCGGTGGACTCTCCCTCCTTGGAAGTTTTTAAGCATCTGTCCTGGATGCTTTAGTTGAGGTTCCTGCATTGCAGGGGGTTGGACTAGATGACCCTCGGGACCCCTTCCCACCTTGCAGTGTTATGCTTCTTTGCTTCTATGATTCTACACCTCAGGATTTTTTAAAAAAATAAGTTTTAAAGCATTTGAATTTCCAGTTTATAGATCTTGTGGTTGCAAAACAATCCATATTTCTGCAGGAAGTACCAGGAAGCTGAGAGGCAGTGGATTAACCATGTATTCCTCTTCCCAGGGAACTCTGGGAATTGTAGCTCTGGGAGAGGAATGGGTGCGTTGCGTGTCTCCTAACAACTCTCAGCACCGCCCCAAGCAAACTACAGCTCCCAGAATTCTTTGGAGGGGAATGCCATGGTTGTTAAAGTGGCAGCAGAGAGCTTTTAATTGTATAGAGTCAATTAAGGTGGCCGAAGTGATACTCAAGAGTAGACCCAATGGGATTTCAGGACCCGAGTTAGTTGCGGGGAAAGAGGGGCGGATTGATAGAGCACCCTGGGAACTGTAGTTCCGAGAAGGGAACAGCGGGAATGAAATAATCCCAAAAGTGAAGCTATTTCAGGATTGTGTCCCAACCAAGAAGGTGTGTCAGGCTAAATGAAGGGAAGAATAAGGAACCAAGAAGAAAGAAATTTCATCAAGGAACGCGGAAAATTTGTGGAATACTGTCTCTGAATAAAAAAATTGTACACAATTAAGTTCATTGGCAAGATTAAGGTAAAAGAAACCTCAAAAGGGGTGAAGGGAAAGGCCTCTTTCTCTGTATATATATGTGTTTATTGGGAAGTTATTCAATTTGTATGTCTGTAAAAAAAATCTAAAATTGGGGGGAAAATGTATAGAGACAAATGAATGAATGAATGAATTGAAATCTTTGTCTTTCTTGGGAGAAGTGATGTTTCCGGCGTGTGATCCTTAGCGCAACCCTTCCCTTCAGCAAAATCTTTTTCACGGTGATGACGCATTACTTCCGATCCAAGGAGGGGGGCGAGCGATCGGTCTGCCTGGCCTTTGCTTTCTTCTTCCTCCTGGTCGCCATGCTGGTCCTGGTCGTCCGCGAAGACTACCTTGAATTTGGCCTCGACGCAGGTGAGGGAGCTGGGGGCGAGCTCACAAAGCACTGGTTATATATAAGGAATTTTACTTATTTCCTCAAACGTATGCACCTCTTGATGGTCGGAAGAATAGAAAAATTTGTTTTTCTAAGATTTTCTAACATTCTAAAATTACTTTTAGATATGAAAGGGTTAGAATACCATATCAGGTTAGTAGTAGTAATGATATTATTATTATTATTATTATTATTATTATTATTATTATTGTTGTTGTTTAATAATAATTTATTATACCCCGCCTATCTGGCTGGGTTTCCCCAGCCACTCTGGGCGGCTACCAACCAAATATTAAAAACACAATACAGCATTAAACATCAAAAACTTCTAAACAGCGCTGCCTTCAGATGTCTTTTAAAAGTAATATGGTTGCTTATTGCCTTGACATATGAAGGGCCCACATACCCTTCGCCCCCCACAATAAAACATTTTAGGGGCCCCTCCAAAGCTGATGGGCATTGCCTTTCAAATAGTGTGTGTGCACCGCGTCATGTGACTGATTATGCAGGGCTTACCTGTAGCTCCCCCCCCCAAAGTATTTTATTCAAATTGGCACCTCTGGCATTGTGCCTGCATTTCCCTAATTTTCATCCCCCCCCCATAACTCAAAAAAATTAAGACCTAGGAGATTTTTATTCATACCAGTGACTTGGCCTTTGTGAGATAATCCGGTACAGCAATTTTAATGAAAATCTGAGATTGATATTTTTTTAAAAAAATTGTGATCTGTCGTGGGGGCGGGGGGACCTTGAAGAAGATGACCTTGTTGCTGGTTGCATTGGGCTCCCCGTGAAAATTCAATGGGGGGGGGAGGGCAAAATGTAGGTCCACCACTGCATTTTGATAAGGCCTCGCTCCTGCCAGCAATCGCACTGCAGCATTCTCCCGGATTCTCCCCCAACTCTCTTGTCCCCACAGGGCTGAATAGCGTCCAGGACAACTTGGAGGTCTTCCTGAAAGGGCAAGGCTGGGACTGGACGTAAGTGTGTCTCTGAAATCTTAAACCCTGCCAGGATTTATTTATCTTTGTCCACCTCCTGCCCTCAAGTGGAGATCTGAAGTCCAAAATGAGGCAACTACAGGATTGTTTTGGTCAGCTCACGTCAAAAAGGATATTCTAGAGCATGGGTAGGCAAACTAAGGCCTGGGGGCCGGATCCGGCCCAATCGCCTTCTAAATCCAGCCTGCACACGGTCCGGGAATCAGCGTGTTTTTACATGAGTAAAATGTGTCCTTTTATTTAAAATGCATCTCTGGGTTATTTGTGGGGCATAGGAATTCGTTCATTATATTTTTTTCAAAATATAGTCCGGCCCCCCCACAAGGTCTGAGGGACAGTGGACCGGCCCCCTGCTGAAAAAGTTTGCTAACCCCTGTTCTAGAGTTAGGAAATGTTGGCCAAAATAAGCCAGGTGATTTCCCTACAAGGAAAAGTGGCTGCGTTTGGGACTTTTTAGTTTGCAAAAAAGGCGGGGAAGAGTGTTCCTAAAACCTGTGCTGAATTTTCATTTGACTCAACTGGACAAACCAAGGAAAGCCAAAGTCCCACTCTGTTCTGCCTTGGTCAGTCCACACCTGGAATATTGTGTCCAGTTCTGGGCACCACAATTTAAGAAGGATGTTGATAAGCTGGAAGGTGTGCAGAGGAGGGAGACCAAGATGATCAAGGGTCTGGAAACCAGACCATATGATGAACGGTTGAAGGAGCTGGGGGTGTTTAGCCTGGAAAAGAGGAGATATGAGAACCATCTCCAAACATCTCAAGGGCTGCCACGTGGAAGAGGGAACAAGCTTGTTTTTGCTTGCTCTGGAGGGCAGGACTCGAACCCATGGCTTCAAGTTACAAGAAGGGAAATTCCGACAAAACTTTAGGAAGAACTTTCTGTTGTTAAGAGCTGTTGTTAAGGAAGAACTCTCCTTCCTTGGCGGCTTTTCAACAGAGGTTGGCATCTGTCCTGGATGCTTTAGTTGAGATTCCTGCATTGCAGGGGGTTGGACTAGATGACCCTTGGAGGTCCCTACCAACTCCTACAATTCTATGGTTTCTCTGGCACCCACCGAACCTCCATGGAGGGAGCATTCCACAAAGGGGGAGCCACTGCAGAAAAGGCCCTGTTTTTGTGTCAGGGATTCTTTAGCTGCGATGCCTTGCCTTGCAGGGATGACTCTTGGGGTCCCTTCCTGCTGCGTCTCCAGCAGCCTTAGCCCTTCCCGAAAAACGCCTCCCTCTCTCTTCCCCCCAGGGTCCCCGTGACCAAGCTGACCGTCAAGCTCTGCCTGGTGGCCCTCTGCTCCTTCCTCGGCGCCTGCCTGACCTTCCCAGGGCTGCGGCTGGCGCAGACTCACCTGGATGCCCTCAAGATGGCCGCAGACCAGCCGGCGGTCCAGTTGCGTAACGGCTTGCCCCTGGCCTTCCTGAAAGACGGGGGGTGGGGGGGATAAGGGGCAGGGATGCGGAGGGGGCAGCCTTTGCGGGGCCTGACCCTTCTCCTCCTTGACCCCCAACACGGCAGGCTGCTCCTCCACGCCAGCTTCCTCGCACCCGTGGCCGTCGTGCTGATGTGGGTCAAGCCCATCTCCCGGGACCTCCTGCTCAACGCCCCCATGGGGAAAGAGACCGTCCAAATGTAAGTGCTTCTGCGATCGCCAGGAGGGAGAGGCGGCCCTTCAGAGCTCTCCCTCTGGCCCCCGGAGCTCTCCCTAGGCCACACACACCCCTCCCTGGCAGCATCCTTGAGTGTTCCTTTTTTTAAAAAAATAACCCTCATATTTTTCAGTAGAATGAAAAAAAGTTTTACAAATTTTAACCTAAACCATAAGTTACTTTATCCCTTGACTTCGTATCTTCCCCTTCCATGTTTTCCATAGTTACCCTTGAATGCTGCATATTTTGCCCCTATACTAGTAAATACATTCAATTTAATAATAATAATTTATTATTTATACCCACCCCCCATCTGGCTGGGTTTCCCCAGCCACTCTGGGCGGCTTCCAACCGAATATTAAAAACAATACAGCGTCAGACATTTAAAGCTTCCCTAAACAGGGCCGCCTTCAATTTAACCTACATATCCTAATAATTTGCCCTGCTGCTCATATTTCAAGTCCTGCTTGCATTTTCATCTATTCTAATAGTTCATCAAACAGTGAAAGGTCTCCAGTCCTCAAGGCATTTTCATCATTTTGGTCTCTAATCTTTGCTGTTAATCTTGCTGGTTCCTCACAATCTCCAAAAAGCCATTCTTCCTTTACTGGAAACCTCTCCATCTTTCCATCATTGGGCAGACAGTATTCTTGCTGCTGTCGTTGTTTTACGTAAATAATCTAACATGCTCTTTTGGAACATCCTCCTCCTTGCATGCTCCCGGCTAGCTGGAAACGTCTTTGTGGACTCTGAAAGGACGGCTCAGCCTTGCCTGCTGGGACCAGGAACCTATTGCATTCCCTTGAGCTCCTTGGCAAGAAATGGGGGGAGAGTTGAAGGTCATAAATGAGCCAAATAAACTCAGTAAAGTCCTGTTTCAAACGGGAAGCTCAAAACTTCAAAGTTTCCATTTATCACGGCATTTTAAAAATAGCTAAGATACAATTATGATTTTTTTATTATTATGTATTCTCTGGTTTTATATTCTGATTTTAAATATGTGGCTGATTTGTTAAAATCAATAAAGACAATTTGGCAAAAAAAGAAAAGGGGAAAAAGGGAAACCGTCATAGAATTGTAGAGTAGGAAGGGACACCGAGGGTCATCTAGCCCAACCCGCTTCAAGGTAGGAGTGTATCACCCAACCCATAAGACTACTCTACCAGTTGAGCTATGTATATGATGCAGGAAGTCTCTCTCTGGTGGAATCTGTTGTTGTTGTTTAGTCGCTTAGTTGTGTCCGACTCTTCGTGACCCCCTGGACCAGAGCACGCCAGGCCCTCCTGTCTTCCGCTGCCTCCCGCAGTTTGGTCAAACTCATGCTGGTCGCTTCAAGAACGCTGTCCCACCATCTCGCCCTCTGTCGTCCCTTTCTCCTTGTGCCCTCGATCTTTCCCAACATCAGGGTCTTTTCCAGGGAGTCTTCTCTTCTCATGAGGGGGCCAAAGTCTTGGAGCCTCAGCTTCACGATCTGTCCTTCCAGCGAGCACTCAGGGCTGGTGGAATCTAGGCACATAAAACGCTGTGAAAATGCTTTTTTAAAAAAAACCGTTTTGAAAACTATATTGAATTTGCCGTAGCTCACCATCGCCATCTAGTGTCCTATTTCCATAATGCACAACACACTTAAGACTTTTATTTGCAGCTGTCTATTTGCAGTCCTCTGTATGTGTGTGTCTGTTTCTCTTTCTGCCCGCAGCCTTTCCAACGCTTCCTATAATTCGGTGCGCCTCTGGACCATTGTAGCTCTGTGCCTCCTCCGCCTGGCTGTCGTGCGCTACCACCTGCAGGCCTACCTGAACCTCGCCGAGAGATGGGTGGAGCAGATGAAGAGGGAGGCCGGGAGGATTGCCGTCCTGGAGATCCAGCGGAAGGTGCGGAGGCAGAGCGGGGGGGGGGGGGGCTCAGGCGTAGGCATGAAGGGACAAGTTGGGACTTGCTGAAGGTTCCCCCCCACCCCTGTATTCCCCCCCACCCAAGGCAATCTCTTCCCTGCTCTACGCTGATAGCCAAACAGACGCAGCATGAAAGGAAAAAGGTATGCAGAGGGAAGAGGAAGCGCGAGTGTACTCTGGCTGGCAGATGGGACATTTTGCTACAGCGGCCATAAGTTCCAAACAAAGCATTGGAGGGGCTTGATCCTGAGCAAAATTAAATGTCCTGTTTATTTTTAAGTTCCATTCCTCCAAATGGCAACGTTGCTAAGATGCTGTTTTTGTTCTGTTTTGGAGTTTGTTTATTTGTTTTTTACATCATCATTATTATTATTATTATTATTATTATTATTATTATTATTGAATTACAGATCACCAGAATCTACTGCTACGTGACTGTGGTCAGTTTGCAGTACCTGGCCCCAATCCTGCTCACCTTGCACTGCACGTTCCTCCTCAAAACACTAGGTAAGTGGTGGCAGTGGGGAGGCCTTCAAGGAGCTGAATGGGGCTGCCCCATAGCTCAATGCCCCCACTTTGGTTTCTGCACAGACACATGCATTTATTATCAAATACTAGCACAGGAATTTGGGGGGGGGTACATCCATGGTCCTGCTGGTGTTTGCTTAACTTTTCCTCCCATCATCCCTGATCGTGGGGTGTGTTTGCTAGAAGTTCAGCAATATCCAGACAGGCCCAGGTTTCCCCTCCAACATCTAGGAAGAGGCCTTCCCTGCTTTCTCAAGATGGGAAATGCCTCTTTGAAATAGAGCCCCCCCCCGCTCCCCCAATCTCTGGCCTGCAGTGTGCCATGCTGCTGGTTGAGCAGGGGAGGGCAACTTTTGTGGCCCTCCGGACGTTGCTAGGCTCCAACTCCTGGTAGCCAGTATGCCCAGTGGTCTGGGATGACAGGCAGCCAGATCCCGGCAACATCTCGAGGGACCCAGGAGTTCCCCGTCTGTACAGGAGTGTCAAAAGCAAGCCAGCAGCCAATCACACCATGCATGTTGGAGTGACATCGTTATTCGTAAGACAGGACCTGCACAGACTTGGCTAAACACCAGGCCTAAGGAGTAGAGCAGCTCATCCCTGGTAGGTCTTGCCCCCCATGAAGCAGTTGCTGAGACTGAAAGTCCCTGTCTCCCCGCAGCTGCCTAAGTCCCCTCCTCTCTAGGGTTTCCCCCAAGCAATTGGAGACAGTGCCGTCATGCAGCCAACCTCTCCTCCGCCCTCTTCATGCCTCTCCTGGTTCTGGGAGACCAGCAGGGAGGGCAGCTTGATGCAGCAGGAGGGGGAGACATCCGTGACTCTTCCCCAGCCAGACTCCTTCCTTTCCTGCTTCAGTTTCTGCCTCTGATTCTGGACTGATTCTCTGCCACCGACTCGCTCCACTCACTAGGCCCTGTTGCCTCTTTCCCTTCCAACCCCTCCTCCTCCTCAGTCTCCTCCCTCTTCTCCCTCTGACCACTCATCATCGTCCCACCCCAGGCTCTGAGGCTTCTTCCCTTGGGGGTTCCCCCGTTGGCTTCTCCCCCCATTCTTCTACCTCCAGCCAGGCTGTTGACAGAGAGACGGTGGAATGCCCCAATCCCAGTGCCCGCTTTTGCCACCCTGTGCTGGGGAGGTCCGCCCCTTTGCTGTGTGCTGATCCACTGGCCCACTTGCTCGCCTGAACACAGTTCCTGCTCGCCTGTGGCGACCGGCAAAGGGCTCGAATACTAGGCTGGGTTAGGAGTTGCGTGTCCCTTGCCCTGTTTCTCACCTGTGTCTCTCTTTCAAAGGCGACTATTCCTGGGGGCTGTACCCAGAGCCCGCCCTGACCTCGCCAGCAGTGGATGTGGTTTGTGCCCCCCAGGCCGCCCCCTCGAACGACGGGGGGACGGAGGACATCCAGGCAGCGGTGGAGCAGATCACGGGGGCCCTGGGGGCTTTCAGCACCGTCTTCACCCCACTTTTCTACCGGGGGCTTCTCTCTTTCTTCGCCTGGTGGGTGTCCGCCTGCCAGGTCATCGCCACCCTCTTCGGCCTGTATTTCCACCAGCACCTGGCTGCGTCCTAACTGCAGGCTTTCTGTGGGGAGCGCTCCCTGGACGGGACAAACCAGAAGACCACCCAACCCCTTTGGGGTGGGACTGGCGGGAGAGCAGGCCGTTGCAATTGGTCAGTTCCTGGTCAGGGGGCCGCCAGCGTGGTATTATTGCGCTATGCAGGCAGAGACCTTTTGAGAAAACTCTTCCACTGCCTGCTGCCAATTTTGATGGTCCACAGAGAGTTGGCGGGACTTCTGCAGGAGGAGTTTGGCTGCCCCACGGCCGGATCCTGCACTATCCGATCTTTGTGTGTGCTGGGGAGATTTACAACCGTGTTGCAGGCTGCTGATTGGAGAAGCCAGCTGGCTGGGGAATCTTAACTTTCATCAAAAAAAATTTTTTTTAATGGTATCAAGTTTCCAGACCTTATGGTGGCCCCCAAAGGGCTTAAAAGCAAAAGAGTTTCTAGATCTCATGGTTGCAAGAGGGATTAAAAGCCTTTTTCTGCTTGGCTGCAGCTGAGAACACAATGCTAGACTAGATGGACACTGGCCTGATCTAGTAGACTCTTCTTAAACTCATATATATATATATATATATTTGCTTTCGTATATATATAAAATGTGAATTCTTTACTGAAAAATAAAATGTACAAAATTACAAGGACACAGAGTAAGATAAGACACAAAAGAAGACGAAACAAGAAATAGTACCCATGTACAGAACAAAATAGAAAAAAGATATTGTGTACATTACAAAAAAAGGGGGGGAATTGTTATTGCAGTTAACCAGACTAAAACCTAATATGCTATTTATAAGAATGAATTCCAAATATTGTTAAATTTGCCCATGGCAAGTCTACGTTTGTATACAACTTGTTCACGTGTAGCGAGTTGGTACATATATTCAATTCTTGCATTCTTATATTCCGGTTTCCAGGTCTTGTGGTTGCCGAAACACAAGGCCTTAAAAGCAATCCTGGGTCAGTCTCAGTCTCAGTCAGTTTTATTGCACATTAGCCAAAGGCTGCCGCAATGTACACAGAATTATTTGACAGTTAAAAGTAAATATACTGAATTGGTAAAAAAAGGCTTAAAATCCTGGGTCAAGTTTCTAGACCTCATGGTTCCAAAAGAAGCCAGCCTAGTTGCAGGAGGCCCCAGCATCTCCCAGTAGGACTGGGAGTGGTCTGCCTGAAATTGCGGAAAGCTGCCCGTGAGTTTAGGTTAGATGGAATCAATGATCTGATTCCGGCATTCCTGTATCAAGTTTCTAAACCGCACAGGGGAAAAGGGGGGGAGAGAATAATAGGCTTGAAAAGTATTCATATCAGAATCCCTGTAAATCTCCTTGCCCACCCCCCAATACTGGCAAAATTGGGGTTGGGGGCAGAGGCCGGGGTGTGTGTCCTGCAGAACAAATGATGCAAAACTAAGAGGGGTCTTTGCATATGACGGCAAAGGTTGTCGTTTGCATCTAGGCTGCAGGATTTGCAGTTTCCAATGCAAATCTGGCCACAAAAAGAGAGAGCAGATTTTTCTACAAGGCAGAATTTGGGGTGTGGGCTCGTTGAGGAAGGGCTGTAGATAATTCCATTCCCCAGAGGGATTGGGGTGTTTTGCCTCTCTTTTTGCAAGATTAAAAAAACAACACCTTAAGTCATGGCTTACCTTCCCTCCTTCCTCTTCCACCCAACTTCAAAGCATTTTGCCTGTCTCTTTTGAGAGACAGAGAAATGTGTCCTGTTCATTGCAGTGGGCTGGGCTGGATGACCCTTGGGGGTCCCTTTCAACCCTGTGGTTCTATTATTCTCCTTGCTCCTACAGGGTGCCTACAAGTCAGGCCAGAGACCTCACTCTGGGAGCAGCTCTGTAACCGCTTCAGACATGTCCTCTCTGGGGACCTGCCTATCTTGTGATAGATTCATGGAGGAGCCGGCGTTGTCTCGGACGAGGCCAATCAAGAGGGGAGAGAGATCCACTCTTTTAAAAATGTATCTGAGCACACAAGCCAGACCTGTTTGGTCCCAATTGTGCAACAAGACAGGGAGCTGCTCTCCATCCCTCTAGGTTTTGAAGCGCAACCCCCCCACTCCACCCCTCTCCAGGCCCCAAATTAAAGGCACCATCTGCCCCATCTCTCCCCTAAGAAGGGACCTTGTGGGTTTTGAGCAGGCCGGTGCCTTGAATGCAAACACAAGCAGCTTCACTTCACCCTCTATGCTTGTTTTGGGGCAAAGAGGCGGTGGAGGGTGGGGGGTGGAGACTGGCACTGCTCCCCTTAACCTTCCCACCAGCATTTAGCTATGCAGTGTCTGTATCCCCAAACTGTAGCCGAAAAGGGGCTTGCAAAAATCAGTCCTAAAGACTCGTGCTCTTAAAAAAGACATGGCAGCGGAGGAAAGAGCAGGGAAGGAGGGAAGAGGAAAAAACGCAGGTCCACAGGACAGCTTGTACAAGTTTCAGATGGTGCGAGTGGCATTTCAGGCCTTCTTTACCTCGAGGTGTGAAATCTCTCGCAGGAAGGACGCTGCTCCCCCTAAGCTTCCCACCAGCATTTATTGACGGCATTTATAACCCCACCCCAGCCGCCCTCTCAGAGTGACTTGCAAAAAGCCAGTAGTAAGACTTTCGCTCTGAAAATATGAGAGTGGAGGAAAGAGGGGGGAGGAAGCTCAAGTTATTGAAATTGCTTGAAAATTACAGCTCTGGCTGCCTTCCCCCTCGCCTGAAGCCCCTCACTTACATCCAGGAGCAGGACTGGTGGAAAGGTCGGCTTCGGCCCCATAGCTGTTGTTTCAGACAGCTGCATACTTACATTGGGTATACGTTTAGCCTAGCTAAGAGGAGACTGAGGCAGGCTGAGCGACAGACTGATATATCATCCAAAACCGGTTCAAAATCCATATTGTGATATTGGTTTCGTAGTTTTTGAGCCAGCAATATATCGCGAATCACGTTAGGTATGCGTAGGTGTGCTGTGCAAAAATCACGATGCAGGAAAAACCGTGAAGCCAGCCAATGGCTCCCAATAGCTCCATAGCTTATTTCAGACATTGTGATGTACAGTGGTACCTCAGGTTAAGTACTTAATTCGTTCTGGAGGTCCGTTCTTAACCTGAAACTGTTCTTAACCTGAAGCACCACTTTAGCTAATGGGGCCTCCTCCTGCTTCCGTGCCGCCGGAGCACGATTTCTGTTCTCATCCTGAAGCAAAGTTCTTAACCTGAAGCACTATTTCTGGGTTAGTGGAGTCTGTAACCTGAAGCGTATGTAACCCAATATGTAACTGTATTGGTATATCGCAATGTTGAGCTGGTGATATATCACAGTGTTGGAAACCAGGTATTGCCCGGCCCTAGAGACTAATATCTGAAGGAAGGGGTGTCCCATGGAAAATGGAGCAAGCTTGTTTTCTCTGGGGGGGGGGTTTGGGGGGGTTTGGACCTGAACAAATGACGAGAAAAGAGATTCTGACTAAACATCAGGAAGAACTTTCTGGCAGGAAGAGGAGTTTGACAGTGGGAAGGAATCCCCTGGAAGGCGATGGGCACTCCCTCCTTCATTGCAGGATTGCCCCCTGCCTGGGATTATTTAGCTGCAGTTCCTGCAGTGCAGCGGTCTGGACTAGATGACCCTCAGAGGTCCCTTCCAACTCTGCAGCTCTGCAAAAACAGGTCCACCCCAGCACCTACAACAAGAACTGAGAAGCAAGGGTGGTTGTTTGAGACACAGAGCATCCACACACAAGCCTCGATAAATCATCTCTTTATTATTAAATATACATCATTTCTTGGCACAGATCTTTGTACAAGTTATGTCACTATAGACACACATTTGTGTGTGTGTGTGTGTATATATATATATATATAAAACAAAAGGATCAAAAATCCACACACGCACAGGACCCTCCAGAGGCGTCAGACGCACTCGCTTTGAGAGACACAAAGGCAGCATTTGACAACGGACCGCACAAACACTCCTGCATAGAGTTACCCACCTCCCCTGCAAAAAGCCATCCTGGTTAATACATTGTCGTGGCAAGAGGGAGGAGGAGAGGGGGGCTGGCTGGGGCTTTTTTGGGGGGAGGGGACACAACACTGTTTACAGACTCGCTATTCTGCGGACTCACCAGAGATCACCAGTGGCAGACAATGGCCCCCGGATAACCTTCTGACCCTCGCTATCAATTTGCACCCCTCCCGTATCAAGAATGATGAGTTGGGGGTGTCGGCCCCTGCCCCTTGTGAACCGAGCAACAGATTCTTGGAACCATTCCCTGCAATGGGGAATGAGTCCCCCCATGGCAGAAGGTCTCGGTTCTTAGGGAAGCAGGGGTGCCCCCCCCCAGCGTCTCCAGTGGCCGGGAACGATGGACAACTGCAGCACAGCTGGAAAAGGCTCCCTCGGGTGCCAGCTCCGTTGTGCATTGATTCAACCGCTGCAATTACGACTTCTCCTACCTGCTGTAGAAACGCCACCCCCTCACACACACCATTGGGTGCTGGGGAGCAGGACGGCAGGGAGCATCTGTGTCCCCCTGCACCCATGTGTCCCCCTGCACCCATGTCACCGTAGTGCCATCTTGAAGCCGGAGGGCAGCCAACTTACGGGGACCCCCCGGAAATGACCTCTGCCGCCTCCATGTTATAAGGAACGCTAGTAGGAAAGGGGCTAGGTCAGTGTTTCCCCAACTTGGGTCTCTGGCTGTTTTTGGACTGCAATTCCCATCATCCCTGACCACTGGTCCTGCTAGCTCAGGTTGATGGGAGTTGTAGTCCAAAAACAGCTGGAGACCCAAGTTGGGGAAACCCTGGGCTAGATTCTAGGGAAGGGAAAGCATCTCTCTGGGATCGCTGCTTTGGAAAATCTGGTTCTCTGCAGGCTGGGGCAAGGGGTTGGCGGGGGGTGGGTGGTGACCCACAGCCCAGAGCATCCCAGGAACGATTTTCTAGCCGCCTGTAGTTCATCTTGGGGAAGGGAGACCTCACGCCAAGGCCGGCAGGACAGCTTTCACCGATTAACTGCTCCTTGCCAACTTTGTAAGATTTGCAAAAGTAAACCCAACTCCACAGCTGAAAGCTATCAGGAAGCGGGGGGATCTACAGCCGACTGGGAAGGGGATGGTGCGATTGTGGGTCAGGAAGGGAGATGGAATGGGAGATGCTCAGGTCTTCACTTCTGGAGTCTGGTTGGCGGTGGAAACTCAAAAGGGAGAGGGAAGAAAAGGTCATCCCAAATACTCAAGACCTTGCAGGAAGATATGTCACTAGACTACCAATCCCATCAGCCCTGATTGTTGGTCCAAGCTGGCAGGGGATTATGGGAGTTGTAGTGTGGCCATCAAAAGACACTAGCTTGCAGCCTCTTAAACCCCAAAAGGGAAAGTCATCTTCCCCAGGGACGCTGTCC